TGCACTACCACAGTGCCACTTGTTCTGGAGTGTGGCACTTGTTCTCATGGCAAACAAGCACCTCCCAAGACAGTTCACTTTACCTGAGATTCTCTGGGAGAGTCTGACTGCTGAGTGCTGCCTGCCTTAAGTGCTGCTGGCTGGGTTTCCCCATTGGAAACAATGGAGGTAATGGGGGTAACCTGTTTGAGCCCACTGGTCCAATTGCTTTGGGACTTGGGGGTTTATGTGGGGCGAGTGGCCCGAAGCCACCCTGAACCTTTGGAGCCTCTCCTTCAAACCCCGGCCCCCCCAGAGCCACTAACAGCACCACGGGAAAAAAGTAACGTTTTCCCCCAACATAGAAAACAATGGAGGGGATGGGGGCAACCTGTTTGGGGGCCCGTAGAATTGGACACACACACACACACGGTCCAATGTTTTGAAACTTGGTGGGTATCTTGAGGAAATGCTGTAGCATCTATCCTGCGAGTTTGGAGCTTCTCCCTCAAACCCCCTCCCCTCCAGCCCCCAGAATATACCCTGCGTTTTCACCATTGACTTCAATGGCCCATAGGATATAATGGGCCGAATTGCCGCCGAATTTCGGTGGCAATTTGGCAGCAGGCCGATTCAGATCAGAGAATCTGAATCGGCCTGCAACCCGAAAGGGGCCCGAATGGGCCATTTTCGGGGGTGCATTCGGTTCAGACGAACCGAATGCACATCCCTAGTTAAGACGATGAGCTGCAGACCGGAAGGTCTGTAGTTTGGCAGTTCGAGACCCGAGTGCCACATGACAAAGTGAGCTCCCATCTCTGGCCCCAGTTCCTGCCAACCTAGCAGTTCAAAAGCAAGAAATTGCAAGTAGATAAATAGGTACTGCTTCAGTGGGAAGGCATTCCGTGCGCCTCAGCGTTTAGTCATGCCGGCCACGTGACCATGGAGAAGTCTTCAGACTGCGCTGGCGCTGGCTCTTCAGCTTAGAAACGGAGATAATAGCCCCCTAGAGTCAGATTCGACTGGCTTTCGAGCAAGGGAAACCATCATCATCATCATTTCAATTTGTACCCCGCCCACCCCGCGAGCAGGCTCAGGGCGGCATATTTTGGTTGGTACATAGAAACCATTAAAATCCAGATAAAATCATTTAAACAATTCAATTACAAATAAGATCATAAAATCATAAGGTGCTGGCGATATTTCATTAATTACTTAAGATGGCGTACTGGAGCGTGCATACAGACAAACGGTTTTACAGCTCAGTGAACTTCCTAAGTCACTCGGCGGCACAGACCAGATGTCAAAATAAGGGCCAGGATCTATAACTACGATTGTTGGTGGTAGTAGTGAAGGCGGCTCCTTAGTTGAAAGCCTGGTGGAAGAGCTCCATCTTGCAGTCCCCGCGGAACTGTAAAAGATCCCGCAGGCCCCTGATCTCTTCCGGGAACTCATTCCACCAGTATGCCTGTGGTCATCACTACATCCTCTGGCAGTGAATCGCACATTTTAATCACTCTCTGTGTAAAGAAGTATTTCCTTTTGTCCATCCTGAATCTGCTGCCCTCTCGGTGTAAAGAAGTATTTCCTTTTGTCCATCCTGAATCTGCTGCCCATCAGCCTCTAGTATTTTGGGAGAGGGAGGGAAAGCTGTGGCTCTGGAGGTGGATGAGCTTGGCATCTCCTGGCATTCTTATCAGAGGCTAACAGTGGCCAGACAGTTTCTCAGGGAGGCAAAATTGCCCGTTGATGGTGCCAGCTCATTTAATTGGGCAGTGTCTTTTGTTCAAGTTTGTATCCATAGTTGCAGCAAAAGTTCTTTGTCTGGTCTCTTGGAAGAAAAACCAACTTCTCTGGTGATTCCAGAATGGCTGATTAAGGCGATCCAGTCCTGGGCAAGCTGTACGAACACAGAGGCAGGTAGACAGCTGGGTGGCGAACACGGGTACTGACCGTATGGTGACTTGCCTGCCTGGTGCAAAGGTAGCGGACATTACGCGTGTTTTAGATAGGCTGGTAGATAGTGCTGGGGAGGATCCAGTGGTCGTGGTGCATGTCGACACCAACGATGTGGGGAAGTGCAGTTGTGAGGTCCTGGAGGAGAAATTTAGGCTGCTGGGCAGGAAACTTATGCCCAGGACCTCCAAGGTAGCTTTCTCAGAAGTGCTACCTGTTCCACGCGCAGGGCTGGAGAGACAGGCACAGATCAGGCGTCTCAATGCGTGGATGAGACGATGGCGTAGGGGGGAAGGTTTCAAGTTTGTTAGGCACTGGGATACTTTTTGGAACAAGAGGCGAGACGGTCTCCATTTGTCCCGAAAAGGAACCAGGCTGATGGCGCTTAAAATCAAAAAGGTGGCAGAGCAGTTTTTAAACTGAACATTGGGGGAAAGCCGACAGGAGATGAAAAGTCTCTGGTTCGGGTTGGGTCATCTCAGAGAGATGCTCTGTATTCTTGCTGCTTGGGGGGGAGCAACAGTGGGAGGGCTTCTGGTGTCCTGGCCCCACTGCTGGACCTCCTGATGGCACCTGGTATTTTTGGCCACTGTGTGACGCAGAGTGTTGGACTGGATGGGCCTTTGGCCTGATCCAACATTAGCTGTTCTTATGTTCTTAGAGGGGCATAATGTAAAATACACTGGATCAATGGTATCCCTTTGCGGCCGAGATTCTGAATGTGCTGAATATTCCATCGGGAGAACCCTTCTTTTTGTCGGGGTGTGTGTGTGTCATATATTAAAATATTATAAAATTGCTTAAACATAAAAATTAAATTTTTCAAAAAACAAATGCAGGGAATGGGTAAAACAACTGGCATGGAAACCACTGTCACGTTTACCCGGTCTTTTAACTGAATATCCAGTCATGGACATGCTTCTGAAGGCCAAATATTAAGAAGAAACAGCTGATTTCAGAACCCCAGGCTGTACCCAGGAGGGTAGAAGAAGAAGAGGAAGAAGAGGATTGGAGTTATACCCTACCCTTCACTACCCAAGGGAGTCTCAGAGCAGCTTACAAACTCCTTTCCCTTCCCCTCCCCATGACAGGTAGGTGGGGCTGAGAGAGCTCTGACAGGAACTGCTCTTTTTCAAGAACAGCTGTGCCAGAACTATGGCTTGCCCAAGGTCATCCAGGAGGTGCAAGAGGAGGAGTGGGGAATCAAACCCGGTTCTCCCAGATTAGAGTCCGCGCACTTAACCACTACACCAAACTGGCCCTACTTAATCCCTAACACCCGCTGTTGAGCTCAACAGGTTGAAATTCTGATGATCTGAAAAAGTGTTTAGTTTCTCTTCCATGAATTGCAGAACTGGGTTCCTGCAACATCCGTTAAGTCCAGTTGCCTCAGTGTCATGCCTCTCTTAACATTTGCTTTTTCTTCCATTTCCCAGGCTTTGGAAATGTACAAAGATGACTGGAATAAAGTGTCAGAGCATGTCGGAAGCCGCACTCAAGACGAGTGCATCCTCCATTTCCTGAGACTTCCCATTGAGGACCCTTACTTGGAGAACTCGGACGCCTCCCTGGGCCCCCTGGCTTACCAGCCTGTGCCCTTCAGCCAGTCTGGAAACCCGGTGATGAGTACAGTCGCTTTCCTGGCATCTGTCGTGGATCCCCGCGTGGCGTCTGCTGCGGCTAAAGCAGCTTTAGGTACAGGGTCGCCTTTCTTTTGCTATCAAGTCGCAGCCGCCATATGGTGACCCCGCAGGGTTTTCAGGGCAAGAGACATTCCAAGGTCTTTTGCTGTTACCTGGTTCTGCGTAGCAACCCTGGACTTCCTTGGCCGTCTCTTCCGAACAGTGTTCCCTCTAAGCTAGAGTTAGTGTGAGCTAGCTCTGTTTTTTTAGCCTCCAGCTCGGACTTTTGTCTTAGCTCAGGAAGGATGGCTGTAGAGCAAAGTAATTTATGCAGTGGCCCAATCGCTCGCTCACAACTCTTAAGGCCAGTGGCTCACAAAGTCGAACTTTTGCTCACAAGACTCCACAGTTTAGAGGGAGCATTGCTTCTGAGATCTGACGCGGTTAGACTAGCCTGGTCTATCCAGGTCAGGGCATCTCCTTCTTATTCTCTTACAATCTTGTCTGAGAAGGTTTTAATTGCACGCTTCATGAGACTTTGGGCCCCCAGACTTGGAAAAACAATCTGCAACCATCTCGTCGATTGAGTCATCAGAGGAGAGGACTCGCCCAGAAAGACGAGGGGAGCGGAGCTGTTCCCTCTCCTTGGAGCCTGCCTTCATGCCTCCTCCGGTGCGTCGCCTCCTGTCACTTAACTGCTGGTTGGTTAATCCTTGTAAAGAATCGCCTGAACCAAGCCTAAACCAAGTAAATGCTATGAATTAATTTATCATCGAGATAGCTCAACCAGTGATTTCAGAAGGGCCTTACAGACCTATTATAAACGCACCAACTTCCGCTGTCAGCGCCCAGTCTCTGTGGTGTTTCCACACAGCTTTTCTTGAGAGACGCCTGGGCAGATTTGTGAATGGAACAGCCCTTGTATTCTTAATTGCTCTACGATATATGTATTTGCAGGGAGGCGTGAGATGAACTGTTACGTTTTTCGTTCAGTGAACTGTGCAGTTATGAGAGGAGGAGAGCTTGGATTTGAATCTTCCTCTCTGGCATCGAATGCTGGACTCTCTTCAGCGTCTGGCAGTCCACAGCCTCCCCCATGGGCTTCTCCACCTGTTGCCTTTCCTGATCAGTCGCTTTGAAATTAGCATCATTTGATCTGTCCAGGCTTCCCTGTTGCTTCCTTTGACAAGGTTCTGTTCCTTCAGTCCTGTCCTGTCCCCTTCGCATGCCTTGACTGAGCCTGTCTCCTTCTCCCACTCTTCTGTTTTGCCTTCTGATTCTCCCTTGTGAAATCAGTTTCCCACAAACAGTGGTCGCAGTGCTCGGCTTCTAGAACACGCAGTTTGATCACCCAGCAGAGACATGACCTAAAACCCCGTCACGTCGCTCAGAAAACCCTTGCCGCTGAATGCAGATCCTTAAGTCCCTTTTGCTTCTTTAACAGAGGAGTTTTCCCGGGTCCGAGAGGAAGTGCCCCTGGAACTGGTTGAGGCCCACGTCAAGAAAGTGCAGGAGGCGGCCAGAGTCTCTGGAAAGCTGGACCCCACGTATGGGCTGGAAAGCAGCTGCATTGCTGGGACGGCCCCAGAAGAACCGGAAAAGCTTGGTAAGCCCCAGAAGTTAATGCCAAAGGCTTCTCCCCATTGGGCCTGTCTTTTCCCCCCTGTGACACACAAAGAACCACTGATTTTCGTTTATGATATGGCAAAACGTTGAGCATGTGGAGAGGTCCATCCGTGGCTATGAGGCACAAGGTATAGATAGGAACTCTCAGGCTGGGACAAGGGATGCCCTGTAGTCTTGGTGCTTGGGGGTGGGGGCAACAGTGGGATGGGCTTCTAGTGTCCTGGCCCCATTGGTGGACCTCCTGATGGCCCCTGGTGTTTTTGGCCACCGTGTGACACAGAGTGTTGGAGTGGATGGGCCACTGGCCTGATCCAACACTGACTTCTCTTATGTTCTTATGGATAAGCATATGGGCCCCTATATGTGTTTTAAAATTTGTTATTATCAATAAATACATGTACCTTTTTTATGGAAAGGTTTTAATATTGGCCCTCCTTTTCACTAACCTTTGTTTGGTTCTGGAGTTTACCATTGGCCTGATCCAACATTGCCTTCTCTCATGTTCTTATATGGAGCAGAGGTCCATCAGTGGCTCTTAGCCACAAGGTACAGATAGGAACTCTCGGTCTGGGGCCAGTGATGCTCTGTCTTCTTGGTGCTGGGGGGGGGGCAGCAGTGTGAGGGCTTCGAGTGTCCTGGCCCCGTTGGTGGACCTCCTGATGGCACCTGGTGTTTTTGGCCATCATGTGACACAGAGTGTTGGACTGGATGGGCCATTGGCCTGATCCAACATTGACTTCTCTTATGTTCTTGTGTGTCTTGCGCATGAGTCAGGGTCAGAAATGATGCACGCAGCCGGAGCAAGAAAACCTTGGGAAGAAATACTGCTTTAGAGTGTGGGCAGCTTGAGAGCAGATTCTGGGCAGCAGTTTGTTCTGTGCTCAGACAATACACCAGGTAGAAGAAGAAGAGAAGAGATTGGATTTATTCCTCTTGCCCTTCACTCAGAGTCTCAGAGCGGCTGACAAACTCCTTTCCCTTCCCCTCCCCACAAGAGACACCCTGGGAGGTAGACGGGGCTGAGAGAGCTCTGACAGAAACGGCTCTTTTCCAGGACAGCTCTTGTCAGAACTCTGGCTTGGCCAAGGTCATCCAGCAGGTGCAAGTGGAGGAGTGGGGAATCAAACCCAGTTCTCCCAGATTAGAGTCCGCACACTTAACCCATGACACCAGACTGGTAGATTATCACACCTTTGTCGAAATATAACTTCATAGCACTACCATTAATACATATTCTCGACATTTTTAAGAACTTAAGAACTTCCAAAGAGCGCTGCTTGATCAGACAAGTGGTCCATCAAGTCAAATATACTGTTTCACACATCAGCCAGCCAGTTGCCATGGAGGGCCGAACAAACAGGGCACAGAGGCCAAGGTCCAGACTGTCATGACAGAGCCAAGGGGGCGGGCAAAGAGGGAGAGTCAAAAGACAAGTCCAAGAGTCAGCCAGAGGGAGCAACAAGAGTCCAAGCAAACAGTTCCAAATACACAGAGCCAAGCCGTCGTCAACGTTACCAATAGTCAGAGTCCAGTATCGTAGTCAAGAAGCATAGCCGGGGGTCAGGAGCCAGAGGGATCGCCAAAACACAGACCGGATTCAGGAACCTAGAGATGAGTCAAGAGCCAACACAGAGTGAGAGGTGGTCCACAGACGAGGTTGCAAGCACAGTTTACTTGCAGCCAGCGGTCTCTTCAAATAGTGTGCTGGCTCGTTATCTTGTTAACATTCATTTGTGAAGTCCTTGCTTCCGTCAGTAATGATCGTGCCAAGCGTGCCTCCTTGCGCCTGTTTGCCAGATTCCAGCGTCTCTGGTTTCTCAGCCAGTCCACAGGTGGCAGCGAGTCAGGTGGTGAGCTGCTAGGGCCAGGTATTGCCTGATCAGCTTCAGGTGCCAGCTGTCCTGTAGTTTGGTGTTCATCCTCCCCGGCACTTAGGTTTGATGAGGACTCTTGTGCTTTAGAGGTTGTTAAAGGTGCAGAATCCTCATTTTCCAGGCTCCCAGGTGCCAGGTCGGGGACAGGCATGACACGGACGGTTCCTCCCACCTCTGGAATTCAGAGCTATGTTGCCTCTGTGCTTGGAGGCTCCTTTTAGTCACTGTGGCTCTTAGTCCTGGGTGGCCCTCTGCCCCAATAACCTCCCCAATCCAAGAGAGCCAGTTTGGTATCATGGTTAAGTGCATAGACTCTAATCTGGGAGAACTGGGTTTGATTCCCCACTCCTCCACTTGCACCTGGCTGAATGACCTTGGGCAAGCCGTAGTTCCGATAAGAGCCGTCCTTGAAAAAGAGCACTTTCTGTCAGAGCTCTCTCAGCCCCGCCTACCTCACAGGGTGTCTGTTGTGGGGAGGGGAAGGGAAAGGAGTTTGTAAGCCGCTCTGAGACTCCAAGTGAAGGGTGGGATGTAAATCCAATCTCTTCCTCTTCTCCATTACTATTTGTCAGGTGAGCACCTGAGGTTGTAAATAAAACCTTAGCTCATGGGTGTGTTGGGGTCAAAGCTGTGAATTTATGGTGAACTGCGGTATTTGGCTGGGATTAAACTAGCAGCACCGTATCTGTCGGTGCAGGCGTGCACAGAGTGAGGTCCTTATTCTGTCTTGACCAGGGTCCTGTAATCTGACCAGCTGCAGTCCACCAAGAATGCAGGGCAAGATGTCTTTCCAGCTTCTGTTTTTAACTGGAGATGCCGGGTGGGGGGGGGAGGGGATTTGAATCTGGGGCCTTCTGCAGGTGTTTCACCACTAGGCTAATTTCCAGCCCCTCTGCTTAGCATGTAAGCCTGGCGTGGGCTTTTGAATGGGGAAGGGGCTCCAAAAATCCAATCGGTCAGAATCAGTGTTCCCTCTAAGCTAACTCAACAGTTTTTTAGCCTCCGGCTCGCACATTTTTGTCTCAGCTCAGGGAGGATGGGGCTCCAGAGCAAACTGATTGATGCAGCAGCCAAATTGCTCACTCACAACTTTCATGCCAGCAGCTCACAAAGTAGGATTTTTTGCTCACAGGACTCCACAGTTTAGAGGGAGCATTGCTCCTGAGCAGTGTTCCCTCTAAGCAGGGTTATAGTGTGAGCTAGCTCACAGTTTTTTAGCCTCCGGCTCACACATTTTTGTCTTAGCCCGGAAAGGATGGGGCTTTGGAGCAAACTGATTGATGCAGCAGCCAAATTGCTCGCTCACAACTTTAATGCCAGCAGCTCACAAAGTAGGATTTTTGCTCACAGGACTCCACGGCTCATTGGTCAGGACTGCTTGATTAGTCTGAGGCAACTGCTTCCTTCCTGCTTTTCAGGCCCCATCTCTTTTAACTCCATGTTTCTTCACTTTCCATCGACAATGGCTTCATTCCCACACTCACCCCTCCCGATCTTCCTTCAGAGCCTGCCTTGCCCACTCCCGTCCCCCCTCCAATTCTCCTCCAGCTTCCAAATAACACTGTGGCAGCCATTTTGGATCACCTAGGCAACAAACCCATCAAGAATGTGGCGATGATGCCCGAGGCTGGTGAAGCGATCCAAAATGGCCTCAAAGATCCCAGTCCTTTTAAAACATTCATGTTTTGTCAGACTCCATTTTATAGGGGGGGGGTTGTCTACAAAGTTGGGGGGCCCACCCTGTGTTTGTAGAAATACCTCCCTCTTTGTACCTGGCAGCACGGGGGGTGGGGGTTGGATTTGCAACCTGGGGGCAAGTTCAGAATTAGGTATGTGGCTGGCTGGCTGGCTTGTTAGTATGATTTGTATTGATCTGTGGTTTGATGGAATAAATTAGTGCGGTCGTAGACAGAAGTGGCTCAGAGTGGTTGAACTGGGTCACTCCGCGGCCTCCAGTGCCTGCTCTTTGGAACAGCTCTTTGCCGCAGGGCAAGGCAGTGAGCCTGCGTTCGTTTGGGAAGATGTGTGGAGATGCAACAGAAGCACTACACACCAAGCACCTCTGCCACCTTCAGGATCTGTGTGGCTAGAACTGCTGTGTGGCCCTGGGGAGCAAAAAAATGCTTTTTCTGCAGATCTAGAGAAGAGAAGAGATTGGATTCATACCCCATGGCCCTTCACTACCCAAAGGAGTCTCAGAGCGGCTTACAAACTCGTTTTCCTTCCCTTCCCCACAACAGACATCCTGTGAGGTCGGTGGGGCTGAGAGAGCTCTTTCGAGGACTGCTCGTGAGAGAACAGCTCTGATAGGACTATGGCTTGCCCAAAGTCATCCAGCAGCTGCAAGTGGAGGAGTGGGAAATCAAACCCGGTTCTCCCAGATTAGAGTCCGCGCACATAACCCCTACACCAAACTGGCTCTCAGATTTATGCCCCGCCCTTCACTACCCGAAGGTGTCTCAGAGTGGCTTACAAACTCCTTTCCCTTCCCCTCCCCACAACAGACACCCTGTGAGGTAGGCGGGGCTGAGAGAGCTCTGACAGGAACGGCTCTTTTTCAAGGATAGCTCTTGTCAGAACTACAGCTTGCCCAAGGCCATCGAGCCAGGTGCAAGTGGAGGAGTGGAGAATCAAACCCAGTTCTCCCAGATTAGAGTCTAATAATTCTGTACCTGAGAAGTAAAACTGCACTCATCGCAACTCATGTTTGTAGCTCCCGTCGCCGAACAATCCACACTGGTTACCCATCCATTTCCAGGCGCCAGTCACAGTGCTGGTTCTTACCATTACGGCCCTAAACGGCCAGTGTGGTGTGGCTGTTAAGGTGTCGGACTCGAATCCGGAAGGCCTGGGTTCGAATCCCCGCTCTGGGTGGCCTTGGGCCAGTCACACCTTTACAGCCTCACCTGCCTCACAGGGTTGTTGTGAGGGTAAAATGGAGGAGAGGAGAACTTTGGGTCCCTTTCTGGGGAGAAAGGTGGGCCATAAACAAAGTGAATCAATCCATTGGTGCCCTGGTATCTGAAGGAGAGACTCCTCCAGTACTGTCCAGCCCACTAGTTTGGTGTGGTGGTTAAGTGTGCGGACTCTAATCTGGGAGAACCGG